ATCATTTCCATAAACTCATTCTTAGTAAGTTGAACGGGGTCTGCATAACAATTCCTTGCTTCTGCTTCTAACTCTTCCATGGCGTTGACATATCTATACAAACTCTGGTCATTTATTCTTCTAAGAAACTCTTGTATGTAGCGTCGTTTGTGTCCTTCTGTCATCTTTAAGTGGTCTTTATTACGGTGATAAGGACCAATTGCAAGCATTTCTGGTTCATAGGCCCTTTTGTTTTCTTTGTGTAGTAGCTCATCCACTATAGAGATATAAGGTTCAACAGATATTGTATGTAATGAGAAAGCATACTTCTCACAAATGTAAATATGTAGCTCGGACATTTGGTATTTCTTCAAAATCTGTAAGTACAAGATTATGTTTCAACCAAGATAATATTTCAACAATTTGATTTTTCTGAAGCTAAACAATTACTAAAACTCAGGTTTAGTTGATTTTTATTAATATTTCAGTAATTAATACAGGAATTAAAAATTATTTTGTATCTTTGTAGAATGCCAGAATAAGTACATACCTTAGACAAGTTCAAATGTACCACAAAAAAATTTATGAGAAGATGATAAATGAATATAAAATTTATCAAAGCAAGACGCCGTGGGCTAGCTCCTCCATTATGTTGAAAACTCTCACAGAAAATTCAATTTTGTATTTTAATTTTTGTGGAGATACGCAGGAGTATTTTTGGCATAAAGCACAATAAAAAAAAAATTTCATATGTATAATTAGTCTTTTACTCATAAGCCATTTTTATATACAAAAATGTGAATTTGATACCCTGAAAAAGTCTGCAATAATTTCAAGGAAAAATACGCTATACTAACTTAGTATCCTACCAAAAAATATTTGTGACGTGTTACGACCGAATGATATCAATTTACAATTCAAAATTTTGGTTTCAACTCAAAACAACCAAACTCGATCTTATATTATAATTGTGTTTTGTTTGTATCTTGGAAAACCGTCACTTCTGAGTATATTACCGAAAACTTAAGAATGCTTATAAAATCAAAGGAAATGCTTATAAAATTCTTCTACGACTTAATTACTGATGATTTGCAAATGGGTCTTTTTGCTTCCCCGCTTCGTCTTCCAACCTAATTAATTCAATGGGAATGAAAAAAATGTTTTGTTGATGGCAAAACAAGTAAAGAGGGGCCATTAATTTCTAACCGGAAAGATTCATTTCTTATGGAAAAGTCAATGTCTACTCTATCCTCAGTCCTTTTCTTCGTAATTCAATAAAAACGTGTGAAAGGCATCCTCGCCAATAATCAAGACTTTAGTTACGAAAAAAGTACAAAGAGCAAATTACACTTGAATTGGTTAAATTATGATTTTCATTTCATATTGGCCCCCTTTAACTATCTATTTTTACCCAATGAACCTTAAACTATTAGTTGGAGTTTCACACTGCTTTAATCATCGACTTTTGTCTAATAGTATATCATGACAAAAATGAGATCTCACAATATTTAGAGATGTGGTGTTTTTATTTTTAGTTTTTTATTTTCCATCTAATTTTAAAGAGCTTAGAAAGGAGCAGCCTCATATTTATGCAATATGCTATAAACTTTTCATACTTCCGAATACATTTTTAAACCTATTGTTTTTCCATTTAATCACCAAAACATCATGAATTTTAATGCACCCCAATTAAAATCCATACCTAAAAAGATCACCAATATTTGTGATTGGGACAATGTGAAATAAAAGTGTTAATTAATGACACAATGTAAAAAATTTAATTATTAAGAGAATAAAAATAGAAAAAGTGATAGTTTAGGGGGTATAATTATAATTTACCCGACTATATTTGAATACGAGGAGAGTGATGTGCTAATAGTTCTAACCACAGAAAGCTAAAATATAATTTGCCCAAGATAATAACTTCATATGAGTGGTTCAGATAGACAGATAATTTTCGACCACTCTTTTAGGAAGACTCTCAAACCGGAAGCACCAAGAATGTAACTATTAATTACTGGTGAAATTGGGGTGATGTTACGTTTTTAAGTCTATATAAAAAATTTAACAGCTTTATTTGTGTATACCAATAATTACATGCCTAAAAATAATATATAATATCAAAAATTGAATATTAATCTTACAATCAGTATATTTTAAATATTAATTTAGTTTTTTTAATTAACTAATTTAAAATTAAAATGAAGAGAGAGGTGGGTGTGAATTGATGAGATTGTATTAATGTGTTGATTAAGAAATTAATACTTAGCAAAAAAACAAATTTTGGAATAAATTTTGTATCATTGAATTAAAATGGACAAAGATTAGATACATCTTGCCACTCATTAGATAGATTATAGAAGTTATATTACAAGGTGAATAACATTTTTTGTCCTTAAATTATGTATTTTTTGTTGGTATAATTCTCATTATATCAATTTTATAAATTTCACCCCTAAAGTATTCAATTAATGTCATTTTGGTCTCTACATAGATAAATTGTTAAATTTTTGACGGAATGATCACATGTTTGACATGTGATACCATCTAAAAAATGATACATGGTCATTTTTGTCAAAAAAACTTAACGAATTGTCTAATTAACTAGGAACTAAAGTGACACAGATTAAATATTATACAAACAAAATTGATACAATAAAGATTTTAATTTTTTCGTAATTGATACAAAATTGACCTATTGTTTTTCCATTCAATCACTAAAACATCATAGATTTTAATGCACCCCAATTAAAATCCATACCTAACAACCTCCTATATATGTATTTAATTCATGGGACTGAGCTTTAAAGAACTTACTCGATAAGCTGTTTAAATATGAGATAACTAAAAAGAAAAGCTGCTCATTGATACTCAATGAGAAACAATCCTTCTTTATAGACAATGATGTCTTGTTCACCGGAGAGATTTTTATACCAGAGAATTTAATTTTAATATTGCATTTCAAATAAATTATGAAACAAAAAATAAGAACTATTTAATCTAATACCATCACAACAAAACTGAGGTCATTTGAAGTCCATCCTAATAACATTAGGATCGATCCCAAACTTAAGTTAACACTGATTGAACCTGTTAGTGTTTTAATCATACCCAATTGAATCTTGATCTCACTAAACTAAATCATAAAATTATCCTTATTTATAATAATTTTTGATAGGATAATTTAGTGTAAAAGTTAAATCTATAACGATAAGATTGTTACATTGTGATTTGAAGGTCACGAGTTCAAATTGTTGAAATAGATTCTCTGTTTGAAGGGGTAAGAGTACGTATATCTAACACTTTTTAGACTCCACAATGACGGTAACTTCGTTTACTGAGTCTGCCTTATGGACTTTTAAAAACATACTTGATAAGTTAAGAAAAAATAAGTAGTAGCTTATTCTAGAAGAGAAATGCTACATAAACTTAAAAAGTAAATTTGATAATTACAACTGTTAATTTTACTGAACAAAATTATTACTATTACAATATTTAAAGAGTATCAAATATATCGTTTTTTTATATAAAAAACATTATTTTCACAATTTAAACACTAAATGCATAAATTACAAAGAAATAAATATTATTGGTACCTCAACCTAGCTCACCCTGTAGGTATAATGCAGTGAAAGAGTCGCAGTCTCTTCGGTCCTCGGTCTTTTTCTTTTCTTTTTGGTTAAACAGCAATGGTGATGGAGTCAATTTAAAAAACATCTCGATTAATAAAAGATAGGTTATTTACACAAACGTCAGATAATTTATGAGAGATAAATCTCATTTCAATTATAAATCAATAAAAATGTGTGAAAGACATCTCACCAATACTCTCAAACACTAATTTTGTACGTAAAACATACAAAGGCAAATTACTCTTAATTCCCTTAATTATGTCTCTCATTTCACATTGCCCCCTTCTCTTTTTTTTTTGAACTGCCACATTGCCCCTTTAGTTCTATTTTATTTTCACAATATACTCTAAACTATTGGTAGGAGTTTCACATTTGCCAAGAAAACTAGAAAAAATTTCTGTGCACATAGAAGAAAAATGGGATGCCATAATGTTAGGACTTAGGAGATGTGGTATTTCCTCCACAATTGGTGAAATTTTATTTTTGTCATAAAAAATTTGAACAAAAATAAACAATTGGGGCAATGTGGCGCTCAAATTAATAATTAAAGATACAATGTGATGGCTTGTTCAGTGCAAAGCTCGAGTATCAAAATTATTATTTTTTTGACACCGTACCAAAAGTCACTACAAAATAAAAATAAAGATATAATGTTAGTTCAGTCTCTTCTTTTTTTCCCCCCTATACACGTAACAGTTTTTTTTTTTTTTTTTAAGATCAAATACCCGTAACAGTTCATTTTCTTCATTTGAGTGGTTTAAAATAGTCGACAAATTTTGGCCACACTTTTAAAAAGAAATCAGGTGACATTATCCTCATGTGGCGACTATTCACCTCCAAAAAGAAGTTTTTCCAGTTGGCAAACGGATGACAAAAAAACCCCTCATAAGTTCAAACACCTATCTAATTTATTATATAGATATGGCAGGACTCGATAGTTTTCGTCTTTTGGTTGATGCGAAATTTTTGGTTCAATGAACAGAGCGTCAAAAACATCTTCACTTTTCCACATGGAACATACTTGCCTTGTGACAATTTTTGTTCTTGCTTTCATTTTGGTAAAAGAAAACTCACTGAGGGCTCCACTTGGATTTGCTTTCATTTTTGTAAAAGAAAACTCACTGAGGGCTCCACTTGGATTACTTAAATTCTGAGAAATGAATCTAACCTACTATAAATTAATGTCTCCTCTATACTTGCTTTGTCATCAACATTTCTTACATTCCTCATTAAATTAATCAGCTCAGAAGACCAAGCAGAGGAGCAATCCATCAGTAAGTTGTACAATTGCTTAACCATTGTTTGTTTTCCTATGCTCTATCTTTTTCAAATATCCGTCTAACTACGCAAATCATTTGAAAGGCAAATCATACTTTAACAACTTCAACAATGGTCACGTAAGCAAAGTAATGCACTCTATTTCTGATGTGTTCTTGTTTTTGTTTGTATTTGTTTCCAACTCATTTTGAACCAGATATCATGTAACTCATTTCCAACCACTCAAATAAAAAAATTATGTAGACTATAAAAAAAAAAAAAAAAGAAAAAAGAAATCAACTAAATATCACTGCCTATAAATAAAAAAAACTTATTAGTTTCACCTTGTTTTTTTATGAGCCCCCAGTTGTCTATTGACAAATGAGCCCCCAGTTGTCTATTGACATCAACAATGAGCTAGCCTCTTTGTCACCTACACCATTTGAGCCTTACATCTTCAGAGTGGATGGCCTGCTACGTAGGGAAAATGAGCTAGCCTATGAACCAGAAATACTTGCAATCGGTCCTTATCATCACGGTAAAGCTAACTTGGAAATGATGGAAAAGCATAAAATAAGATACCTACAAATGTATCTTGTGCGAACAAATGAATCAAGTGTGGATAGATTTGTCAATGCCATGCAAGATTTGGAAGAAAAGACACGGAAATGTTATGCAGAGTCCATTGTACTTGAGAAGGATGCGTTTGTGTGAATGATGCTACTTGATGGATGTTTTATCATTGAGTTTTTTTACAAGTTAGCATATGAAGAGGTTATAGACGACCCTATTTTCAAATTGCAAAGGTTCACGAATACAATTTTTCGAGACCTATTGTTATTTGAAAATCAACTCCCATTTTTTGTTCTCGAGCGCTTACTTGGAAGTGATTTATTAGATATCAATGATCTCATTTCTCAGATACCCTTTCTCTTCTCCCATCTTTTTTCCCAAAGTTCAACGTATTCAGACGCATCCGATGTTCCAAGGGAGAATGTCAAACATCTACTAGGCCTTGTACATGATATTTGGTGTTCCTCATTTAAAACGACCGTCTCTTCCCGTCGGGCCGCTGAAGAGCAAAAAGAACATGGGAATACATAAAATGCAGCACACAGCTTCGAGAGGCTGGGGTTAAATTCAAAAAGGCCATAGAAAGTTCCTCGTTGCTGGATATAGAGTTCGAAAATGGAATCATGAAAATTCCACCTTTGAGTATTTATGATAGTACTGAGGTCATCTTTAGAAATTTGGTTGCATTTGAGCAATATAATGACATAAATGAACTGGCTTATGTGACTGATTACAGGAAGTTTTTAGATTGCCTCATCAACTCCCCAGCGGATGTTGAAATACTACGTCACTGTGGAATCATTGACAATTGGCTAGGTGATGATGAAGCCGTTTCGAGCCTGTTGAACAGATTAGGCAATAATGTCATCCTAGATTCTACATCATTTTGTTACTCCGAAATTTTCAACAAAATTAACGAACATTGCAAACGCCGTCGATACAAATGGATGACCAAGTTAAGGCATAATTATTTCAACAGCCCGTGGTCTATCATTTCACTTTTTGGTGCTACTCTGTTACTTGTGCTGACTATCATACAGACTATATGCTCTGTCTCAAAGTCTGATTTCAAGTCTAGTTTGATTTACTTGTTAAAGCAAAAATGTTTTATGTTTCAAATAACTTGTACTGATTATTTAGTTAACCAATTGTTTCAAAAACGTACTGTAAGAATTTCTCAATGTGAAAACATTATATGCCACTAGTTGTAGCAAATTAAGTTCTAGTTTGATCCCTATGGAGCTATAAACATTTTGGAGATCACTTAAAATGGTTAGCAACACAGCTTCTAGTATAATCAAAGAGGTGTTCCTATTATTGGGTGGATCATCATGTATGGATCGATCCTATGGGTCCCCTATTGGGTGACTATTATGTATTGGGGTGACTATTTGTAAAAAGTTCAAATGAATCGCACTGAACATTAGATCGTTGGAACTCAATTTGTTTGCCCGAGAATAGTATTTAAACTCGATTTGGATCAGGTCATCTGATAAACAAACTTTGTTTATGCTTTTGTCAAAGGGTATAAAAATAAATAGTCTACATTTCAACAAATATGCATACCTATCATTCATTTTATTTTTTCGCCCAATTTAGAGAGGATAAATTTGAACAAGGTGAAAAGAAGACTAATTCGTCTACTTTTCATTTCTTCCATTTTTTCTTCCTAAACTCCATGTATACATCTATTAATTACTAAAAGCAGACCTTCAATTACTATGTTATGTTGTGTGTATTTTGTTAATATTTTAGCTATTGATTTCTCCTATTATTTTTATTATAAGTAGGATTTTGTCTCAACTAATTAAAGATTGTCCCATAATACATATGCAAATATAATCACACTTCTTAATCATATATGCTGCTTCTATTCTCTATATATTTTCTCCTCATCTCAATTTCATATTTGAAATTAAGTGAAAATTATTAAAGAAAATTAATAAAATTTATTACATGTGTCATATTGTTGAATGTCATACCGACAACCAAAACAGAAGGGAATATAATGTTATTATCCTATATGAGCGGATCTCTTGTTTATTTAACAAACTTCAAGGGATATACATGTAATTTACCATATTTTTGTCTCTATCTTACTTCAAATCACTGTCTCAACTATCACCTTTTTGTAATTGTACCCTCAACTATGTGTACTAATATCACACTGCCTAATGATTGACATCTGTTATCAATTGTCAAAAAGTAACCCACTTTGCCTCTTACACAATGTGTGTTCTTCACTTTTCTCTCTTCTACCTCTTTTTTTATTTTTTTTCTCTGATCAATTAATTTTAAATTATATAATTACAAATAAATAAATAATTTTTTATTTAATAAATATTGTATGACTAATTATAAATTTTTTATATTGTAGAGTATCTTTTAGCACAAAATTGTTGTTAGTGTTCAAATATTACAAGAAGAATGGAGGAAACCAAAAGTGATGCATTTTTTGATTGTGGTAAAAATTAGACCCTTAAATGATCACGTAATCCTTCAAAACAGTCGATGCTCTCATGTTTCGCGTGTTGATTTGCGCATTGAGACTGAATTCTCTATGAATTTGCACTCTCATTTCACAAAATTTGAATTCGTATTATTATTAACTTATATTCTTACTCATTCTTATTTAAATTTTTATCTGAAAAGTATTAACTCATACATAAAGATACATATCAAATTAGAATGATATTTGCAACCTATAGTTACCATTTGCAGGACCATATAATCAATATATATATATATATATATATATAAATTAAATAGTTTGCTATATTGTTGTGCATTAAATTTGTAGTACTTCATAAATTTAGAAAACTTATCCACACTGTAGAAGGACAAGTTGTAGGAATTATCAACTTATATCCCGACAAGGTCTAGCAGGATTGGTATAGACAACAGTGTCACAACAACATTCTAGCGTCGCGGTAGGCATAAGCACCGCAGCAGATGCTATTTAACAGATGCTATTTTTCAAGGACCGCAAATGTTCACCTTTGTTCCCACAAACCTTCTCAAACTAATTCAAACATGAAGTCTAATGCTTTAATAAGTTATCACACTGTTGTTACGCAATAAAGCATTTAAACCAAAATATCAATTGCTAAAAATAATTTTATCTATTTTCTCTTTGCATACATTTTTTGAGCTCATTGAAGTCTCTCAGCAAGGCTTTGTCTAATATTACATGTGGAACTACTGATCAAAGTTTTATAGATTTGCAATGAACATAAAAGAATGACATAGGTAAACAAAACTCAATAAGGATACTCAATCCATTTCCAAATGCATTCAATTGATTCAGTGAATCTATCTCATCTTTCTTTCTCAAGTTTTGACATCAACTCATCAATCTTAAACTTCAACTTAGACGCCACACAGTTAGCAACCAAAAACCAATGGTCAGAAAGTGATATAGATGATGAATATAATTTAGAAAAGAGTCGAAGTTTTTAAGGAAATACTAACCAACTTGAAGCTAAAAAGTGAAGAGGGGCAAATCTAATAGCCCCAGTCAAATATTCACCGGCATGAATAAGCATTGCTACTAAACTAACACTTGCCGATCAAATTGATGCCTACAGCTATGTACATCCTTGAATGATACCAGGGAACAACCTTTGCAAAGGGGAAATATGATCTACTTCATGCTATAAAAGCACATGGTCAAATTATATTTAGGCCAACTATAAAGGGATAGCCATGTAATTTGAGTTTAATTATAGGAAAAATTTCATCCACACCCCCTCTGGTTAGGTCTAAATTTAATAACACCCCCTCCCAATTTTAAAATTTCAGTGCATCTTCTTCTGGTTTATACTTTTAAATCAAAGACATCCTTTTAACGGTAATATTTAACTCTTGCAGTACAAAAAGTAACGGTTTGACTATAAATTTTCTAAAAATGTCAAAACTACCCTCTTTTATGTAAATATACTAAAATGTCCTCAACCCTTTTCTCATTCTATATACCACACCTTTTGTTGTTTGTGAAGGTCTAAAACGATTTGGAGTTGCTGGAAGACATAAGGAACTGAAACTAGCCATTATTCTTCAGCTCTTTCTCTATAGTGATTGATCATTACCTAAGTTGGTAACTATATATATATATATATATATATTTTGCAGATTTAATGTTTTTCATGCAGTTTTGTTTTCATGTAGATATTTTTAATTTTTTTCATGCAAATTTTTTTAATTTTTTTTTCATCGAAAACACCCATTAGACATTTAAGTCATTAAATCCATTTTCTTATAAGTTGTTGAGTAATAGGTACACTTTTCGATTTCTTATTTTTTTATATTACCTAAGTTCTCTCTATGATATGTTTTTTATTGTTCATTATAAATTATAGGATTTTAAATTTATTTTATAGTTGAAAGTAATTTTTCTATAATAAAATTACAATTGATAAAATCAATGTCAAAACTCCATTCATTTCTAACTTCTCTACTATCGTTTTGTCCTCCATAACGTCACCTGACTACTCTTCATATATCACATTTCATATATAAAATATAAATATTATTTGATAAAATTTAATATTAATTAAATAAATTTGGTCTTAATTTGATAAATTTAAATATTAATTTGGTTTTAATTTGATAAAATTATATTAATTCAATGTTAATTTGAAAAAATTAATGTTAATTAAATAAATTTAAATGTTACTGAATGAATTGAATGGTCATTTGGTGTTAAATTAAATAACTAACTTTCACTTTTATAAGGTTAAATGTTAAATTAATAAAAATTTAATATTCTATTTAATATATTAAATTTTAATTTAATAAAATTAAATGTCAATTTGATGTTGATTTGAAGAAATTAAATAATAATTTAATGTTAAATTAAAGAAATAATATGATGAAATAAAATATTAAATTAATATAACTAAATGCTAATTTGATAAAATTAAATATCAATTTGTGTTGATTTGATAAGATGAAATGTTAATTTAGTTTAAATTAAATAAAGGATATTAATTTGATAAAATTAAATATTAAATTGATGAATTTAAAGGTTAATATAATAGAATCAAAAGAGAGTGCATTGAAATTTCAGAATCAGAAGGGAGTATTGTTAAAGATAGGTCTATTTATAGAGAGTGTCGTTAAAATTATGTCTATTTATAGGG